ATGATAAAATGAATACGATCATAAAGTTTCTTTTTTTAGAATTATTAAGCCCGAATTTTTATTATTCCGTGAAACTTAAGGGATTTGAAACATATATACAATTTTCTGTAGAATTTGTTTAAATTTTAACGTTTTTTTCAAAACGGTTTAACTCATTTAGAGTAATGAGCTTCTCTTAAGTACAATACCCCTTGAGTACTTCCATTTTTTACATTTTCATTGATGTTAGTTTCCCATTAAGAACCGACAACTGTAATAATTTGTCTTGCTCAGGCCCCACAAATATTGCAGTTGTCAACTGGGTGTTTTCCCGCGGCTTTTCTTCTCTTCCCAGCTGTCTCCAGTTGATTGGCGTTTGAGCTGCGCGTGCGCGTGTCTTTGGGGCGAAACAATTAATTTGAATAATTAGCAGCTAACGATGGGGACAGCAGCAGCAGCAGCAGCAGCAACAGCAACACAACAGCAACAGCAACCCAAGAGCAACATCAACAGCAACATCAAGCAATGCAACTGCGCTGCCTGCTTTCAACTTGTCGATTGTGTCACGCCAACAGGAGTTAAGGCCAAGTCAAAGGCAAGGCGCTCTCGTCGGCAAATGGCGATATAAAAAATGCATTTGGCACTTGAGAATTTATGTGCCTGCTGCCGCTGAAGACGATGGGAAATCGGGGATTCGGTGAATCCGAGGAGGACGAGGTCGAGGACTCCGGAGTACGTCACGCGAAATGATGAATTACTCGCCGGGGACGCGCGTCAGTCTTTGATGAGGAACGACAGCGTGAAATTAGACAAAAGGGTTGTGGCAACATGGCCAAATGGAGGGCAAAAGGAGGAGTATTCATCGGAGGAGGAGGAGGTCCATATGCCACATGTGCCGTCTGGTTGACTTTGCACTCGAGGAGGACGACGCGTCTTGACTTAATGAAGATGACGAGTCGCAGAGACTGGGCGTGTTTTAATCCTTCATAGGCCCGAAAGCTAGGTGTTGCCGCGTTTGTCACTGCAACAGGCAACAGGGAACAGGGAACATGCAACACAACAACGCACATACAAGGCGTTAATTTATTACAAATTATTATGATTCCTTTTTTGCGCCTGCGGGACCTTAGTTGCTTTTTTCTTCCGCATTTGCCGGGATCCAACATTCAACATCCAACAGCAACCCTCGTTGAAGACGTCTAGACAAATGCACTCCAAAGGTTAACATGATAAATGTCGTTTGTCGTCTGTTGTTGCCTGTGACGCGACAACTTTCATGTTGCTGCCGCAGTTGCAATTGTTGCAGCGAATATCGCCGCATTGCAGCCGGGGATTTGTTTTCCCTGGCTGCATTGTTTTTCCCGCAGTCGTGTGGCGATTATTAAGCCAAGCCAGTCAACAAATTAATCAATGACGTGAGCAATTAAAGAGCTGCAAAAAAATGGTGAAGGAAATATGACCCACAGGACAAGCGTTTTAGTTAGCGATGGTAAAACGTTGACGGTTTTAGGAAAGGTATCGTTTGGGATTGTTGGAGGTTCTTATTCGATATAGATGGTATAGGGAAACTAATTTTTTAACCGTTGAATTTTATTTAAATTAATAAGCGGTTGCTTAGAGTGTAGAATTTTGATACAAGGTAAATACATATGTTAAATTTAATATAATATTTTCAATTTGAAATCTAAACTGCACAAATTCTAAATTTTTTTTATTTTAATAAATTAAATGCAAAAAATTACACTATTTTATACGTTGATCAAGGTAGAGTAAAGAATTTCATATTGAATTACAGTTTTAAAAGCTTTAAATAAATTATAGTTAAAAGATTAAATGTTCCATGTATAATAAAGAGTGCTTTGTATTCAAGGCTTGTTTTTAATCGGTGTGTTTATATTCTAATGAACAATACTTAGTTGTTTAGAAGTATCGAGAAGTGAGCTATTAAATACCGTTAAAGTTCTCACAGTCTCTGGCTTAAAATTGAAACCCGACTTTGCATTCTAATTTCTTGTTCCCCTAATTGTGACTGTGGCAACTGCATTCGATATGCGGGAAACTAGTCCCAGTTGCGGCAACGAAAAAAGGCAGAATCGCGGTTGCTTCATCTTCATATTCATCTCGGAGCCTCAGCCTGAATTGGCATTCCTGGCTCGGATGTGATATGATGTGGCGAGCGTGGAGTGGACCGCAAACTGCGACACCAGCAACACCAACGATTGCCGGCCAGACCGCAGCAACACTAACAAGCGACTTTAGCCAAATTAAGTTGTCCAGTTTGCGGTGTACGCACAGCGGGCTGCAAATAACAATCTCCTGTTTACAGCAACCACAGCCAATGGCGAATGCAACTGCAACAGCAACACCAAGAACAACAATTGGAAACAACACCAAACTAACAACAGCAATCAAAACTGCAAATGCAACGAGAGGGGGCACACAAAAAAACATAGAAAAATTATTGCAACGACCCAAAAAACGCATTTAACTCATATTTCTTGCCAGTCGCCAAAATCAGTTTTTGTTAGGATTTTTTTTTTGCCAAGGCACCTATGTCGATTTCATATAAATTGTCAATATTTGACACATTTACGTGGCGCAGAAAAAAATCGAAAAAAAAAATAAAAAACCGATCAGGAAAACAGAAAAATATTTGTCGGCGAGTTCAGAAATTTATCAAGTGCCCAACACAAATGAGAAAGGAAAATTTAAAGGCTTAATCAAGAAAATGCAATACTCTATGAAACTAATAAAATCATTGACCAAATGTTGTATATAATAACAATAATTTATTAAGCCATAACATGAATAAAATTATATAATTTTAGTGTTTTTTATGGCTACTTAAATTAAAGTACTTTTAAAACACCCTTATTTATGGTAGAGTGTTTCCAGCTCCAACGTTTTCCCCCCGGCCAATTAAAATCGCCCAAAAGCGAAAAAAAAAGAAATATTAACTTAATTTTACTAGCCGCACATATTTCTCGGCACATTACGAAAGCCGACACGAAGTTGTTGCTGTTGCTTCTGTGGCATCGACGGCGGCAACTCCGGCGGTACAGCCAAAAATTATTAACTAACAAAGCCAGAAATTGCAAAAAGATTGCCTGGAAATTGACATTTGCTCGTTAATGTGTGCCTGCAGTTGCTGGTTAGCTACGGAGCAGCAGCAGCAGCAGCAACTGCAGCAGCAACAGCAACAGCAGCAACATCGACAACAGCAACAGCAGCTGACCAGGCTCGTTTGTCGGCATCGCATGCGACTGCCAATAATTTAGAGCTTTTAATAAAAATGTTGCTGCTGCAACACCGACAACGTTGCGGCTGCAATTCGGCGACTGTTCAAGATTTATATCATAATTTATTTATTAATTTCATTAAGTAAATTTTATTTGATGAATGACGTTGTCGGCTGGTCGCCTTCCTGGGGCGATTGCCGAAATGTTTATTGTTGTTATTCCAGCCACTAAAGAGGACCCATAAATAACAAGGCCCATTAAAAAGTGTGGGAGTAAAATTAAAAATAAAATAAAAATATATTTTTTAAGCAACAAGAAGACATTGAAAGGCAGCTTACTTTCATTTTGATATTTTAAATCTCAAGACAGAAATAAAAGTAAGGTCATCAAAACTTTTATTTCAACATGTTTCCCAATCTGATGGTAATTTATCGCGTGTTGCAAAACCTAAAACAGAAATTCTCTTAAATGCTTGGCCCCTTGAATAATAGCACGCCATTTGGGCCAACATCAAAAAATGATTAAAAAACCATTTAAAATTATATTCAATAATAAAACATCGAATAAATTTAGTCAAACGAAGCGAATTGTTTAACGTTTGCCCCATCGTTGCGGCCAAAAAAACATCAGCCAGGTACAATGAAGAAAAATCAAAAGCCCATAAAACTGACGACTAAAATCAATTGCGACGCTAAACTTTAATACCCCATCTGGATGGAGGGGACTTGGCCGAAAGGTAGGTGGTTTTGCCGGCTGTCTGCGAGCGCCAGAAAAGCTACCAAAATTGAAGGTTTCAGTCTCGAGCTGGCCAACCGAAATCGCAACGGCCTCTTGCCAAATTCAATGGATTTTACTTTTTGTTTGCCGAAACAAAAAAGTCGAATAAAAACTTAAAAAAACTGAAAAAACACAGAGAATCGTAGCAAAGAGCTGGAAAATCGTAGAAAAAAAACCAAAGCTCGATGCTGTCGTGACCAATTAGTGATCCAGCCGAGCGGTCGATGGGGCGGTGCGGCGGAGGGGGCGTGGTCGCGCAGGCGCACGTCAACTATGGCCAAAGCTATACTAAACCTATGGCATGGATATAGCTCGAATATCGCGGCAGGGACGCGGAATAAAGACAGCAAACCAAAGCTGCAATCGAGACCGAGTCTGCCACAGAGCTCTCAGTCTGAGGCGCACTTTACATTTAAATATTTTGTGACACAAAACGTTTTTTGTAGCTGTTGCCGTTGCTGCACCAGCGAATTTGCCTTTGCTTTTGCTTTTGCTGGGGGTCTCTGTGGGTCCCACTGCATATTTGTTTTGGCTTTTGTCTGTGGCAAATCTTTACCCATTTTTCTACTTGGGCGTGTTCGAGTGCCATGCGTTAAGATCCTATACTCTAACCGATAAGCATTGCCGTCTGAGTTCCACATATTTAAATTATACATTTTTATTTGACCAACAAAAATAATTATGAATCATAATCATTGTGTAACTTAATCTTTATTTATAAAAAAAAATATATAAAATCATCGAATAAACAGTTTTCTGTTGGGTGTCAAAACTCGTCATATAATTTTTTCAAGGAAGTATTAAAATAATAAATAATATAATTTCAATTTTAGAAAGAATCTAACAATGCGTTCTCTTATAATATGTGTGGAGGGGGTGGTGGATTTATCGGCTATATCCCCCCCCACTCGGTTTAAAAAGTATTTGTAATACGTATTTTATTCCAAATATTTTGGTTTTCAAAGCATTCCTGAATTCATATCATTAAACAACTTTCTTCATAACTTTCAGAGTGCCATGAAATTTACGTTTGCAAAATACAGTACGTAAATAGAATATCTGTTCGTAATGAGTGAAACGCTACGCAACCAAGCTCGTGAAATTGTTCAGGCCATGAGCAGGTCCCGGCGCAGTGATAGTACCCCCAGAAGGGGATTCTTAAACCCAGAGCTCGAGGCCCTGGGCCGCAAGAATGATGAGCAACTGGCCATGGATCGCTTTCTGGCTATTAAGCTGGAGCGGGAAAGTTTGCCAGAGGACACGCCGCTGCCCATATACTTGGCCTACCGGGAACCTAGAACACCCAGTCCCCCAAGCGTTTGGGATAAAAAGGAACCAAAAAAAAGTAAAATCCTAAGTAATTTTGTTTTTTTAGAAAGCAAGGTTACTGAAACATTAATTTTATTAGAATTCTCTTGACCATGCTAAGTAAGGGCATTTGAAGAACGTTGTTTGTGTCAGTTGGTAGTGTCTTTCTTAATTTAGTGTCCGCTTTTCAATTTCAGAGTCTCGCCTATTAGTCAGACTGCCAGGAGCAGCAGCAACAGCAACAGCAGCAGCAACAGCAACAGCAGCAGCAGCAGCAGCAGCAACATCAGACACAGCAGCAACATAAAGCGCAGCTCCCATGACTCATTTTGCCTGATGCGCGCGACATTAAGAGACAAGGGGATATGCGGAAAAACACAACGGCCACGAACCCAAACACTCACTTGACTTGAAAATCTGCAGAGGAATAACTGACAGTGTACACAAGCAGCACTAATTGCTGTAAAATTGCAAACAGTCAGCTGGGGAAAAGGGGAAAAATCGGGGACTTCGGGCAGACATAGAACAACAGGAGAACACAAAAATCACAGCAGCAAAACAACTGGCCGTGTGTTTAAAAAAAATCTTAACGGAATGAATGCAACAAACGAACGAATGTGCAACGAAACAAGCAGCAGCAGCAACAGCAACAGCAGCAAGAGCAACAGCAGCAACATGAAGCCGCAACAGCAACACAAGCTGCAAACAACTCAATTAACACAAACAACCAGCCAGAGAATCGCGCAAAAGTTGCCTTTGCCTTTGGGCCATGCCCAGCCAACCACGCCCCCAGCCCCGATGGCCGCCCTTTTTCCCCTGGCCGAAAACCCCTTCGAGCCTCATTTTCTGGACACTTTTTTGGCTGCTCCCCAATGGTCCCTGAGCAATGCAAATGTATGATACTTGATTCTTTCGAAGGCAAAATATAATTTGAATTAAAGTGACAGCAAACAACTTTATTAAATAAGTTTTATTTAATTTTATATATTTAATATATATAATTTATACCGATTAGATGTAGCTAATATCCTTAAAGCTTAAAAATAATACTGTGAATCTAGATCTCAAGAAAATGGTTAAAATAATGGTATTAATTTCGCTTAAAGATACCATTATATGATAATAACACTTAAGAACTTAATGATGTAACCAGGCTTTATAAATATTTATGAAAAACATCTTGTTACCATATCTTTAAAATGTTGTTAAAGGTGAGATGACCTTTATATATTTAAAGGCATCCACCCACAACTAAGAATCCAACTTATTAAGACTAGTCTCTTTATAAAAATGAAAGCCTTGCTGAAGTGAATCTATCCTTGCTGTACAGCTCTGCATTGTTAATCCCTCTTTTCCCCGCAAAAACTTAAAGCTATCTCCCCATCTAAACCCATGCAAAAAGAGATAACCTCTGTAAAGATCTCAGGACTATTGGCATTTATGATTTATGAGCTGAAACGCTTTCAGTAGATTAGCAAGCTGTCTAATTTGTTGCGTCCACATCGACAGCCACATTGTGGCAATCAAAGGAGAATGTTCCTTTCCACGGGATCACTTTGTGGAAGCGTCAGGAGAAGCCGCCAACAGACCGAAAAACCGAAGGAGTCTTGAGTGGCGATTCCTGCGGAGCGGGCAGGGGGGTGGGTTAACTTAAATTGCTAATACCTGACATTGGAATGTTTTTAGCACTTCAGTTGTGTTTGGACAACAGCAACAATGGCAACTGCAACAGCAACAGCAACAGCAATGGCAAAGGCAACAAACAACCAGCAACAAGCGGCAATGACTTGGCCAAAAGCCATTGGCAGTTGGTGCTAAGCCGCCACAGAAATGCAGATGCGGCCGGAGGCATCCTCATGCATTTATGCAGACGTAGCTGCCGCCAGCTTGTCGTCGATTTACCTTACCTTACCGCCACCTCCCATCTCCCCCTCCGGATACCGCTTTCCCCTCAACCCCCCTGATCATCCCCCCTTAGCCAACTGCTTAGCAATGCGCATATATTTGCCAAGTGTTCGAATGGCTTTGATCGACGTGGCTGCCTTGGCTCGAAGGTGTCGGCTAGCGGGGATTTCTCGGTCAGCCGAAAAAGAATAAGAAATGCCATCAGCCAGCAGGTGTTGGTTCCGTCTCTCGATGGCATAAGGAAAAAAAAACGGGGTAAAAAAACCAAAGCCAAATCCCAGCCCCAAAAGCCATCGCCAAATTGATTTGTCAATCGCAGAAACCGCAAACCTGCGCACATTTCGTTGGCATTTGAAAGCCATTTGAATAACATTTCACCCGGCCCGAAGACTTAAGTCAGCGTTTGATATTTCTTTCTTTCCTCTTATTTTTTTTTTTTGGGGAAAGTATCACATTTGAACAGATGCAGGAACTGCTGGTTGAACTCGGCTACAGGCTATAGCGATTGAAATAATTACAGCATAGTGTTTACCCTGATTGCGTTGCCTGTTTGTTTGACCGAAATCGCTTAGGATATCAGCATATAAAATGCAGTTTAATGGGATTTTAGCTCTGCACACAGAAAATAAAGGTTGTATTTGTAGATCGTAGTGGAAACAAGGAAGAATGTTATACAAATATTTATTTGTAATATATTTCGATGGCTTTGGTTTGAGGGCTGTTCGTACTCACTTTTTTTACTATAAGGATATTCTTAGATAATTTGTTGATAAGTTAAATATTATGTTGTAGAGCTCTTCATGAATCAACAGTATGTTTTGTGTCAGTTGTTATATGTTTCGAAACATTCCGAGATGATTCCTACATGTTTTTAAGAAAGTAGGCAATGGTAAATAAATGAGCCTTGAGCAACGGTCAGACGATCATATATGATTTACGTATAAGAATAAGAAATTCAATTCAGTAACTTTTCCAATCTAAAATGCATCAAATGTGTCATGGGCCATCGTCGTCTCAAGAATTCGCAGTCCAAGTTTCTTTGTTTTTTTAAGGACGTCCAACATGGGAAGATAAAAACCTTTGGTTCTCTAAAAAGGATAATCTTACATAACAAGAAAGTATAGTGTCTTTGAAGTAGATTAGTAGTCTTTAGATTCCTTTATTTTGTGACTTTAGGGAAAGCCCAATTTAACCTTCATTAGTGGATATCCCTTTTTTATTCCCCTAGCCAAAATATTAAAATGAGAAACCTCAGATAAGCAATATCGATCTGTTAATAACCAGTTGAAAATGATCTCTCCTTTTTCCCGGGCAGTGTTAATGCAGCTGCAAGATGTCCGCGCCGTTGTCATCGTGGCTGTGGCAGTTGCAAGTTGCAAGTTGCCGTTGTGCCAGTGGTTGCAAGTTGTCGCCAGGTCCCTTCGCCAATTTGTTGCTGACACGGCTGACGAAGAGAAAGAAGGCTTGGCCCAGACCAGCAACAAAAACAAAAACAAAACCAACCAACAAACAGCAACAGTTGGCAATGGAAGCGCATAAAAACTAATTGATTGGATGCCAAGATGTTAAGCGCATAACGGCAGCGGCGAATAGCAGTTGCAGTTGCAATACTGCCTGCCTCTCAGCAACTTTTATTCAATTTAAATGCGCTTGCAGCGCCAATTCCGATGCCAACTGCTGCCCCGCCCTGTGCCGGCCAATTCGTTTAAATTAATTATTTTTTATTAACTTTTCGCTCATTGATGAAATTTTTCAAATATCTCCCCGCATTCCGCAACTTCCACTTCTTGCGGCCTGGGCAAATTTGTCGCATGCGACTTTTACACTGATCGTTTGGCATTTTTTTAGCCGTCTTCAACTCCGGCCGGCATAAACTTTGATGGCAAGTTAATAAAATGATATGGCCGTCGGGGATGTTTTGGATTTTTCGGGGAAGCCATAAAGCACTGTGAACCTTCGATTTCACTTAAGTGCCCTGGCTCTATCTCGGGGCTAACGGGAGTGGTTCTGGCAGAAGTTGGTGGTATATACATATATACAATGCACATATCTACCAGTTAATCGCGTCAACTCGTTATCGTGTGACGTTAAATCCACTTCCCTCCCCACAAAACGCAGGCGCGCATTTATCAAAAGTTATTGCAAATTAATTGCAATCTGGCCGGCTCAATCTGTGGCATCATCTCCAGGCGATCTGGCCAAGAGCCGTAAGCCGTCTTGGCCAAGTCTGGCATTTTCGGGCCATGGCTGCTGCTTACCAAAATTTATTGATGCCTTATTAGCTGATAATCACAGACACACACTCGCAACGCGCCCGTCGCGGAAACGGTAAAAAAGTTTTCAACTCGCCTGGCATATTAAAGTGCATTAAGATAATTGAAATGGCCAATAAAAAATATTTTCCCTTTTCCAGACTTTTGGCGCGTTCGCTCCATTGGTGTCAAGAACTTGTCCGAAGTGTTGAGTATCGCGCTTTGGGCGTTTTCAGTTTGGCTTTTTCGAGTTCTGGTTTTGGTTTGGTTTCTGAACTCCGAATCGGAGTTGCAGTTCTTTGGGTCCAGAGAGATATCTTGGGGTCCTGGGTTCGCCGCTGAGTTATTTGTGTGCACCTCTCAATGGAGCTGTTTTTTCTCGGAACCCACTCGCACTCGGTGCTGAAACGTTTTTCAATTTCCACATTTCTCATGTCGGGGAGTTTTGATTTAGTGATTATGTCGGCCTCACCGCGCCCCTGGCCCGATCTGGTTGCATTATGTATATGAGTTATTAATAAGCTTTCTTTTGATAAGCCAAGCGGCATTCTGCAGTTTATACAATGGGCGGCCATTTGGTACCAAGTGTTTGCTTAAAATGATTTAAGGCGTTGCCCCGGCGAAATCGGGATGCGGCTGAGTCAATCCAGGACATCTGATAATTGTTTTTATGGTCTTTTTTGTGTTTTCTTCAAGTTTAGGGATTGCCAGTAAAAGCAACAGAACACAACACATGTTTAATAACTATGGCTTTAAAGAAAGAGGTATTCTTTAATATAGCTACCTTAACAGCCAAGTTATAGTCTCTTTTTGAATGACTGAGGTAACTACGAATACTTTTTTGGAGTTATTTTGGGGAATTTATTAGACATGCTTATCTTATTTGCTTTGGTGTCATAGACCTACGATGGTAACGAGGTCATCGTCTTAGGATGGGTAGTCTATGATAATTATAAAAAGATGTCCAATACCCCTGAAAGATTTACTAAAGTATCATCTTTTCTCTGTTGCCTCGAAGCTAATGCTGGTCCTCATAACTTGGAGTGAAACCGAAAAATTACCAAGTATCGGGTAGTATGTTAAGATTATTTGAAGAAAGCAGAGGGAATCGAAAATAAATGCAGTCTGGAAAGTACCTTTTTCCCTAACTGTTCGGGGATTAT